ACTATACTCTGCAAAAAATTGCAACTAAGGTAGAATGAAGTTTTCTCGTTGATTTTCGATAACCTTAAAAATTCAATTCCATTTCATGGAAAATATGCATAAAGTATCCAGTCGTCTACTCATTCGGGAAAAAATTACGTCCTTTTCCAATTTTTTACTCAAAGGAAAGGGTAGAATTCGGTTTTGCAAAGTTTCTAATTGTGAGATCTTTTGATACCGTGAAATGGCCAATCATAAAACGTCATGTCTCTACATTTACCAATGTGGCTTGCAAAGTTTACAATATGACTTGTATCCACTGCTAAATTTTATGAACCCCATATGGTCTTTCCATAATACCGTAGGGAAATATATGCTTTTTCGTACGCGAAAAATATACGACTTGTAGTTTGGTAACCCTGAACGCAAGTGAAACGGCAGGTCGTGTTCGAAATTAATCCGATATTGGAGAAGGTCTTAGAGACTGAATTATACCCTTCTTTTGGACATAAAACTTGAAGAAGACGTAATTTGCCACAGGATGAGAAAGAGAATGAATATTTCTATGTATGTTTTCCATGAAAAACAATAGAATTTTTAAGGACATCGAAGATCAATGAGAAAAATGCATGATAATTAAGTGGCCATTGTTTACACAGTGTGGTTTTTGAATGCAGCCGAAAAGGAGTTCGTTCGAAAGCCCTTATCCTGAAGTAACTGAATTAGTATAGAGTTATGCATGATAAATGCATTATAGTACATAGAGTAGAACAGACGAGACAAAAGTACTTAATTACGTGAAAAGAAAGAGCGCTGGATCGCAAAAATTAAAGTCGGGGATGCACTGCGCGCCTTAGAGGCGCATGCAGGGTAACAAGGAATGCCAACAAGGTTCTATTGTGAAGGAGAATTTTCGCGCTTTCAATTTCAAGTGCTGCAATCGAGATAAAAGACGAAAACTCAATCGCAGACTGCACCAAATAGTCCCGACCACGGCCGAAAGGATGCCAGTCACTGACTCGGTGTCATAGTTCAAGACGCCCGTCTTTTTGGCCAGGCACGGCGGGCATGCTTGACGTTTTTTGCTAGTTTACGATAAGAAGTCACTTAAACAGTGATTTCTTTCGGTCCCTCGGGACGCTCAAGACGATTTATACTTATGTTCTTGCACAGTGAGTGACCTATCTCATGAAATGACTAAAATTCTGAAACGTGTTTTCGATTAGGAAGGATTGCTTAGGCGCGGTTGTAATACTGATTATCTTGCGGCATGATCTTATAACATTTCGGACTCGGCCGGATGTCAGCTTTTGAATACACTGCTTTTCAGTCTGCTGTAGCAAAACGTCTTCGGTAAAAATGGCTACTTAAGTAGCATACATTTTTCTCATTGGTTTTCGATGGCCTTGCAAATTCAAATATATCCTATAGAAACCATAAACGACAATACGCTATCTTTCAGTCAATTAATAGACAATTACGCCTTCTTTATATTTTGTATTCAAGGAGGGAGTATAATTAGGTTTTAAAAAAGTTTTTAATTATGTGATTTTTTAAGACCGCACAATGTTCATTCACATAGCATCGTACCTGGCCGTTTATGACAGCTCCTTGTGAAATGTGCAACATAGTCCGGATCCATTGCAAAATTTTATAAACTCTATATGGTATCTTCCTAAGCGCATAGAGGAATATGTGATTCTTCTTTCGTAGAAAGTATGCACCTTGTAAACTGAAATAGCTAAACGCTAACGCAATGGCAGATCTGGCTCAAAATTATTCGGGAATTGGAACACTTTTTCAAAACCTGATTGTACTTCTTTCTTGAATAAAAAATATAAAGAAGGCGTAATTGTCTATTAATTGCCTGAAAGATAGCGTATTTTCGTTCATGGTTTCTATAAGATATATTTGAATTTGCAAGGCCATCGAAAACCAATGAGAAAAATGTATGCTACTTATGTAGCCATTTTTTACCGAAGACGTTTTTCTAGAGCAGACTAAAAAACAGTGTATTCAAAAGCTGACATCCGGCCGAGTCCGAAATGTTATAAGAACATGCCGCAAGATAATCAGTATAACAACCGCGCCTAAGTAATCCTTCCTAATCGAAAACACGTTTCAGAATTTCAGTCAACATTTCATGAGATAGGTCACTCACTGTAATATATAGCAAGCAATGTTAAAATCAATCCATATTTCCAAATTAATTGTAAGAAATGATATCTTTCAGAAAGAGAATTTGGTCGCAGAGCCCGTGTATGCGTCTTCAACACGTTTTGGCACCACCGCCGCCACATGAGAGCAATTCTCAAAAATATCCAAGAATTCGTATCTGGAGAAAAATACTTGAAATAACGGAAACCTTTCCGACCAACGGCATGTTGGATCGGTAGCGAAAAGACCTTTTTCTTTATGGTAGTTGGGCACTTATGTTCCTCTCCTGACTCAAAAAGTTACTCTGATGGCATTCTCTACCCGCAAGATAAAAAATAGTTATACAAGTGCATATCATTAGGGAAAGAAATGAACTTGTGAAATGTGGGGAAAGCGCCTGTGTACCTCAGTGTGAATCAGCGGCATCCAGGCGGTTTCATTTTGGTCGACGATTTTCCAGGGCCGATGCGGCTGTTTGGCAGTCACTTTTAGATTTTCAAGACTTGCAACGACCTCGCGTGGGTCCTGTTGGAGAAGACTTATGAGAACGGTTTTCAAAGGCACAGGGTTGAATGGGATATTGCACATTTGAAGAAAACTTACCACGTTCTCAAGATACCGGGCCACAAGCTGATCAAGTTGCTCACCTGTGAGAATGTTTCTGACCCCCGGCTCACCCTAAAAGTGTGAGGGGATAGGCTGGTGTGAATATGTATCATATGCTTCCCCTCTAAAGGCAATTTTTGCGGTTGAAGGGCATTTGAAATACATAGATGACGCATAGCCAGTGTGAACATGTTTATTTTTCCAAACAGTTCTCCGGGGCAGACTGACTGGTACGCCTGTTCCAACTGGTTTGCCCACACCATCCGATGATTTTAACACTAGCAGTTTTTGTTTGGTCCTTAACTAAGATAATAAGTAACTGATATTTGGGAACAAGGCAGGGTTAACGTATTGGACGAGTCAGGATGAAAAGGATAGATGGGATATCATGGTCATGGATATGAACGTCGAGCTTGTACTCTCATGATGAGGGCATCGGTGGTCTTGGTGAATTGTTCCGCGATTGTGGATACGTAGACACACAAAATGTCCGACCATCCTGAACTACCTTCACATCATCTCCCCCCCCCTCCGAGCTTCCCAACTCTCAGCAGGAACTCGAGGAAACTATATTTTTTGCATTGGCACACCCCGGTGCACGCCCCTAAGCGAAGGGTTAATTCAAACTAGGGCGTCCAGTGTGCAGCTCTTCACAAACGATATCGCCTTCTGAGTTGCCACTCTCTCCTCCTACTGAAACGTTCTACTCGATGGGCAGCATGCAATCTTGTGGATGCTCAAAGCCATTTTGGATCATTTTCCCACTATGCTGGCCGTCGGTTAGAATGGGATAAGAGACCCCATCAATATAGGGTTTGTAACTTCATCGGGTGGTTTTTCGAAAATTTACCTTATTATCTTTTCTAGGTAGGTGTTGTGTAGCCCCAAGGCACAACGGAACGAGTGAATTCCGTAGCGCGATAGCCGAGCGCCCCTCTACCATTGTATTTACCCGATCGCAACCGACAGTGCAACGAGCCTATGGTTCAGTGGCTAGTACTTTGGACTTCTAACCAACAGGTTGCGGAATCGAGTCCCGGGGTTTGCACACATCGGGGTTAAGTATATCTGACTGAAGTCGGCTGACAGGCCAGTAATGGTCACTCCAGTCTCCTCTATCTTTGTCGGTAACGCATTTGTGCAGCTCATAACAGTTTGCCTGGCGAAGGAGTCATACGTTACGCGAATTTTGATCTTCACTTATGTTACTGACGTCAAAGTTGCCCGGATCGGATTGAAGGTTAGAGTTAGGCAGACGGTTGAAGTTAGGGCTAATATTAGGATTTAGGTTACTCCTAAGGCCGACGTTGTCCGCTTTGGTTTATGGTCTGGATTCGCGGGTAAGGCTGGGGTTGTGGCTTAGAGTTATGGTCATGAGTTTGAGCGAGGGGTTTAGAGTTTGGATTAGGAATTTAAGGCCTAGGGTTTAGGTTGTGGTTGCATTCGAGTTTTCCTTAAATGCTTACGGGTTAAGGATTAGGGATACCTATTACAGCCATGGTCATGATGGGCGTTAGGGCCGTAGTTAATTACGGTTTTCGCAGGGGTTATATACCACTCCTCTGTGGTGTCTTGTCCTGAGAAGAATAGCATATCCTTTCAGGAGTAAGAGCCTCGAAAATGTGCCCTATAAAGGCTGGTTCAGGCCGTCATTGCTCCTGACAGCGTCTGCTGGATAGAACTACAGTCAAAACGCAAAAAACCAGAACAATCCTGTTTCTGTTAGCTTTATCGCACCCTGTTGGCACAAGCAGATTACATCCACGAGCCTGAAATGTCCTTTTCTCTATTAAGCAGTCTAGTGACCAGTTGATAAAAATTCGGAGGACATCAGGTTAGAAAAAGTAAGAGATCCGGGTTGATAATCTGAGGAAAAAGGAGTGCTTCCCGGATCACGGGACTTGTTTGGCTGCTGTTTCGAAGAACTGGGGCGGCTCTCAATTTTCAAAGCGTCTGGTGAAAAAATCGAGCAGAATTTTGAAGGACAGCTAAATTAGTTGACCGTGGGCTGATCGATTTTTTTCTTCTTTCGCTGCCTAGACACTTTGACAATGGAGAGCCGCCCCAGCTCTTCAAAACGTCAGTCAAACAAGTCCCGTGATCCGGTGTGCACTTCTTTTTTCTCAAAATGAGGACATCTCTGAGGCCTTCAAATTGGCTCTATGCAAAGTGAGAGAGACCCGCCTCTGGGAATGCTACTTCGACGAGTAGTTGGCAGCTGCCGCCGGCATCCACACAAGACAATCTTTTCGTCAAAAGCACAGCCTGCAGTCCTAGGAAAACAGACAGACAACGTGTACGCACGCTCGCTCGTGTCACCAGTAACTGCCAAACGACGTCCCATCAAGATGCCCAATCAGAGTGATTTGTTGGTAAAAAGACGAAGCGCGGCACTGGGTGCTGAACAGGCCATTGGCTTTTTGTCTCGAAAATGGAACTACGGCTGTAACCCCGAGTAATAGGAGTACTGTATCATAAGAGACAAATTGTTTTTAAATTTGAGCCATGACTCCGCCTTACGTAGCCTACGGACGCTTCTGTAATGTAAATCGACGATCTGCCTATTTCCATCATTCATTCGCACTACTTGATGACACAAACAAGGTACCGGCAATCCGCCTGTTCTGCATTGGTTATCGAAGCCGACAGTCAGGAGAGATGGGACTCTAACTACCTTGAAGCCGCAGCTTTTGACAATTTTTTGTTGGACATTGTTACCAGTTCACGTTAAAGTCTGTCTCTTGTTCTCTATTATATGGCTGGGGGCAGCTAAATCTTTGCAACAGAATGAAAGTCAAGTTAGAGCAAAGGCACATTTTCGAGTGACACAAAATTAAGATCAAATAAACGCGAACGAATGACGCCATTGTCTTAGCAAATCCTAGACCTACACACCAAAAAATCCAGGACAGCTCTTTAAATAAAGGGAAATTTCGGCGTTCCCTCTCCAAGAAAAATTGGACCAATCCGGATGTATGTGAACAGCAGAACCGATGTAAACGAAACCGCAAGCTATAAACGCCGAAGTTAGAAGTAGCTAAGAGACATTGACGCAAAAGCCATTAACGGTTCTGATCGCAACGGGAATGCGCGCAGTTCACTTCGGATGCACAACCCTACTGAGGGGTAAGTACGGCTTCTGGATAACTAGGCAGAGCACTTCAAGGGCTTCTTCAACCGCTCCTCTACAACCGAAGGGGAAATCGTCAACAGACTACAACAGGTGTGCTAGCGCGTGGAAGGTTAGTTGAAATTCTGAAATGCATCTTCGTTTTGGAAAAGATTGCTTAAGTAGGAGTTTAAAATTAACACCATGCAGCATAATTCTATAATAATTCAGTTGCCCCCAGATGTTAGCTTTCGAACGAACTTTCCGGCCGCATGCAAAAACCACACTCTGTAAAAGACGACTACTTAATTAGCATGGATCTTCACTGTGATTTTCGATACTTCGTGGAAAACATGATAAAAACATTTATTTTTTGCTAATTCGATAAATGATTACGTCCTCTTACAGTTTTGTACTCGAAGGAAGGGTCTAATTCGGTTTTAAAAAACTTTTCCAATTCTTAAAAAATTGAATACGGCCTGTCGTTACACTTACTTTAGGGTTTTCCATACTACAGGCCGTATATTTTCCGCGCACGGAAAACTATGTGTTTCTCTACAGTACAAAACGGAAACTACATGGGGTTCATAAAATTTAGCAGTGGATTAAAGCAACATTGCACTTATTAATGTTGAGTGTAAAGTGAACAGAGGCACGATGTTTCATGGATGGACATTTCACGGTATTAAAATTCTCATAAATAGAAACTCTTTTAAAACCAAATTATACCCTTCTCTTAAGTATAAAATTGTACGAAGACTTAGTTCTCTACCGAATGAGTAAAAGAATTAATATCTTTATCATGTTTTCCACGAAGTGTAATTTAATTTTCAAGGGTATGGAAAATCAATCAGGAACATCCATGCTACTTAAGCAACTATTTTTTACAGCGTGTGGTTTTTGCCTGCGGCCGAAAATAAATTCGTTAGAAAGCCGGCATGTCGAGGTAACTGATTTGTTATAGAATTTTGCTGCGTGGAGATTGATTTTAAAACACTACTTAAGTATTCTTTTTGAAGCGAAAATGCATTTCAGAATTTCGGTCAACATTTTATGAGTCAGCCCACCTACTGTACCTCAGGTGGTAACAACCGCCGAGCGGGAGTCAACCAGGATAATGCTGCAGCTGTGCAACGGAAATGCTCCCCATGTCAACTCAATTTCGGAGGAAGTCTACAGACCAAAGTGGTACTCACAACTTCTGAGCAGACTCACCTCGTAGTTCCAGGATATGTGTGAAGCACAAGGGTGTCAGCACAGTCTGCGCTCATTATCGCCGGCTGCCGTTCCCTACACGGCGTACAAAATGTCCGTGTTCGTTCCAAACACTTAAACGCTTACCTGAGACGTAGGCTCTTTTTAGAGAGAAGTGCGTATTCTGGAAACTGCATGAGGTCACATGCAAATATACTTTCAGGTTAACAATTAAAAGAAATACGCCTATAAATTAAAGCTGGCCCGCGAACCACCTCTCATGATTCATCGAACGACTTTGGCACAGTAATTTGTCAAATCATTGGGACCAAACATGAAGAGGTTCAGATGATCCGGACTAACAAAACTGACGGTAAGACAACTGCACGACTGGTTGATGGTCCATCTTACGAACGATAAGTCGGCCTCGGAATCATTTGTTATAATAATTGCTGTGAGTCAGGGTCTTGTGCTCACTCCTACCTCCTTAATTTTCCGAGGGACGCATACAGTGACGAACAACCTGGCATCTACATCGTTACCCCAGCCGAGGAAATATTGTATAACATCTGGCCTATGCAGGCCGAAAATAAAATTAAACATTTTTAATCTCCTCACAAATTAATGCGTAAACTTGGTGCAAATTCATAAATACGAGCCATATCGGGTTCTATCCAGAATTTGGAATGAATATTTGGGTTGTAATCCACCATCATAAATGAACTAACCGAGTAATTTTCGTTCGAGCACCTTTCTAAACTGTAGCTGGTACTCGTATTGAGGGCACGACAACTGTGTAGGCTAGATCGCAGTTGGTAGCCAGGAATGGGGAAGCGGACGGCGACCTTAGTCCTAATCCTAAACTTAACTCTACCCTAACCCTAACCCCAACCTTAAATGTTAACCGTTAACCCTAACGGCAACCCTAACCCTATCCTGGTACAGAAAATGTCCTCATACGGACACTTCAGCTAAAGTGGGCACGCGAAAGAGTGTATACTCCGTTGCCTTCGGATGTTTGGTCTTCAGGCTGTCTGTTAACACAAAGAAAACAGTAGTCAGTTGCCATCGACGCCGACAGAGGGATACGACAAACAAATGGTAAGCTTCAATGGAACCCGCCTTGTAGCTGTTGGAAAGTTCGGCAACCGCAGAAGTACCATTGCAAAACACATCAATATGTACCAGATGAACAGCCAGGTCTTCGTGGGACCATACAATCCCCCTGAAATTGTCATACGATATTCCTTAAGACGAAACTTCCGATACACAGAATTATCCTCTTGACGACGTCCAGCTAAGGGATGAAGACTTAGGCAGTAAAGCAAAGTCAGACAAGTATGGCGACGGTGAAGTTACAAGATAGGATCTTGAACAAGTTATTTCTGGATCGAATGAGTGTATTTAACATCTACGCTAGGCTGGGGCATATTCAACTGGGATTACACGCCTAATTATTAATGAAGTTTTACAAGGGTGGCCAAACGACCATTCTACGATGATATCATTATGGCCGCCCACGGACAAGGAGGACAAATGTGAAGATACGTGGACACCCTGAAGACCTCATTTAAACAAGTGGAAATTGACCAAGAGTCTGGCAGTGCTCTCAATCAGCATCTGCAATTTGAAGTTACCGCTACGAAAATAAGAACAGCGGTTGGTGGGGCAACTCGAAGGCAGGATGCTGAGGACGGGTAGTAATCACACGGGACGTTGATGACGAGGACTAACGCTCACAACGTCCTCAGTCTGCCAATACGTCAGTCCCATGACCTTACGTTTGGGGGCAGGACTGTCGTCGCTGGATGTTAAGAGGCTGAACGCGGACAAACAATACGAAAAGCGACGATCGCACCGAAAAATGGAGACCTTTTAAACCATGAAGTCAAAAGTCCGAAGTTTCCTTGATTCTAGCAGGTCACAAATGTCATATATAAGAGCTTTATTCTAAATACTTGGTTGTGTAAAAGACACGGTTTTACGGCGGCATATCTACCCTTAAAATGGGAAACTTATAGTTCGCGAAGTTAGAGATTTATGGGTAAATCAAATTCTTACTTTTGCACCTTTCTCGCCAGGGATCACAGGACAGGATTTTCCGCAGTCTTTTGTTGAGCCCATCTCACCCTTTTCACCCTAAACCAGAAAAAAACACTAGGTGATCGCAGAGAACAAAAAGGACAGTTCAAATGGCTGAAACATTTAGTTTTGAATGGGACGAATTCGAATGCCAAACTGGGCCGTTTAGGGGCGCACATTGAAATGATTATCGGGTAGATTTAAACCCAAAACACTTAGATTTAGCATTTCGGTGACATTTCCGCCTCACCAGGCGGTTGAAGAAACATAAGCGCGTAGGCGTACGAAAAGCGGGTCCTTACCTTTAGATTTATCTTGGGAAGTTCACACGGCAGATGATCACAATTCGCGTCGCGTCCGGCGGGAGCTGGGGAACCCTAACAAGTAAGCCGTTAGGTCGCCGAAAGAAGTCGCTGCGCATACCTTTTCGGCCCGCGGACCAACCAGACCCTGTTAATAAAAAGTGCAAGTTTAGAAAACACAAATTTTGGAGAAGCACTCTAGAAAACAGCGAAAAGTTTAGGGTATTTATAACAAGCCAAGATTTTTTCAAGGGAGGAATTACAAATCTGTTTCTTTTTTCATCAGTCCATTTGAAACAGTCTCATTTAAAATTATTCCCACCGACAGCATTTCCCATACTCTATAGCCATGTCATTGTTATTACATGAGTCCGCATTTTCTCACAGTCCACTACTACGTTGGTTTGTGGCGGATTAGCACTCGTTGCTGGATGGAAGGCTAATAGGCGAATGTCATAATTCCGTTCTGAAATTCAGACCAGAGAAGCACAAATGTAATTAGACAGTTAAAAAGCCGAATTCTGCTCCTTCAAAACAGCTGGCCTACATGATGTCCCGACCTTTCAAAACTGCAGTTTCGGTGAAGAAGAAGGGTGGTCGTGCACCGAAAGAGTCTGTTTATTGTCCCGAGCTTTTGAACTCATGCGGGAATCCATCGCCAGAGATAATAGCAGCAACCAAACAAGCGACAGTTATAGGCCGTGTTAATCCATCATCGACCGACGGCGCAAAACTGGAGGTGACTGCGCGGGGCTCCGCACGCCGTCGCCAGATCGATAAATTGTGTTCTCATCCGAGGCCCGGCATAGGCGGCTATTTTTATGGTCGCGAAGTCAAACTCATGACCTAGTTAGTAGGTGTGGGCGGCTACTTGTGCTAATGCGTCTCCTCGCCGCATAGCCGGCTTATGTTCGTGTATGCGCGATCCTAGCATGCGTCCAGTCTGACCTGTGTAGTTACGAGGACAGTTTTGGCACTGGATGCGGTGCACTACTCCAAAGTGCTTCTCAGGCTTTAACTGCGCGCACAAAGCCCTACGCAGTCACATCCACTTTTGCGCTGTCGGTCGATGAATGACTAACACGACCTATAACTGTCGCTTGTTCTGTTGCTGCTATTATCTCTGTCGATGAACTCCTGCATGTGTTCGATAGCTCAGAACAATAAACAGACTGTTCGGTGCTCGCTACTCTTCTTCTTCTTCACTTATAAGTACACCTGGAACTCGAACTTTTGCATTTACTGTAGCTTATATTTGTAATTTTCTCTTTCAGTAAACATGGTTACCAGGGAAAAGCCCAGCCGATGCTTGCCCAATATTATGCTGGTTTATGAAGCAGTTGCAAAGGTGTATTCACACCAGTGAGGCTTTAGCGCTCCCTAAGTAATTCCTGTTTGTATGCTAAACTGTAGACTGTTTTCCGACATTAGCTAATTATTAGAACAAGGCACTTCTGTTTCCATCCCAGCGGTTTTTCAAATAAGTGAAGAAGATGAATTGAGCATCGGAACACGTTATGCATACACCTGGAACTCGACATTTCGCCTTCATTCGTGGGGTTACCCAAATATTCGAGCTGAATTCCATCATCATTGGCGGAAAAAAATCATGTGATAATAATGGCCGCAAAATTCGCAAGTGATTTGTGTCTAACGGATACTATCAACACCGGTGGTAGGTGAAATGTCGAGCACATGGTTCGCCCATGCCTACGGTATGCCCTCCCTCCCCACAAAATTCTCCTAGTAATGATCCGGGTTCACACACACACCAATCGCTATGTACATGCACACAGACGCGCGTGAATCCGTGCCTCCCAGTCTTCTGGGAAAACTCTTGTCCATTAATCAGGCTAGCAGCCGCGCCCACATGGATCGCCAAGGTGGCAGTCGTTTCCACCAGCACGCACATTCCTTCAGCTAAATGACAGTGTTTACAGGGCAAAATTAGCCTTAAATTAGACTGGAGAAGGCGGTGCGAACTGTCTGCATTTATTTAACTGCATGGTCAAAAGTCTGTACGCTACACGATTTTATGTCTTCCTAGCAAAACATGAAATGCGGATAGCTTCAAACGACACTTCTGATGCATACCACTCAGACAAGGAGTTATCGATGACAGGGATGTTCTGAATGCCCTGCACTGATCGAAACCAGAAAGAGAATTGACCTCGCCATCTGTATCATTTGGGTCGAAGTTCTCGCAGTCAAAATGCGCCGTATGACCAAAAACAGCATATCAGCCCTCTTGGAGCTGTTGCATGCCTGGGCGAGCCTTTAAAGTCTTTTTATGCTCCTTCGCATCCTCAGCATTGTGCCATAAACACCATGCACTATGTCAGCTGGAGTCCGTTACATGTCGCTGGTTGTTCCTCACTTTCGAGTATTTTTTGGCTCTGATTTCATCTGAGTGACGAGCAAATGATCTCCTAGCCAAATGTCTAAGAAATCGAACACATTCCACCTTAAAGATATGCCGGTAATTATAGGACGTAAGATCCCCAAGTAGTATGCGGCTCCAAAAATACACCCTAAAATTCGGTGCAACTGTAAACATCGCTTATTATTAAATGCCCCCATTGTTTGAAATTTCAATCGAATCTTATTTTGTAGTCGCACCTGCAGTAGACAAGCCCTAACAGCCTGTTATAAAGAACCAGTGGTAATAGGGGGTTTAACACTAACCCCTAACTCTTACCCTGACCCCTGACGCCAAACCCTAACCCCTAGCAGTTGTGGCAACGAAGTAGGATTTTGCCAAAATTTTCTTTCTTCCTGATTAAATGTAAACTTAACAGTGGCGTCTTATTCGAAGTTTGTTATTTTTTGAAAATTACTTTTTGTTTGTTTTTTAAATACTGCGCTCAGCTTCATTGCCAGATGACAGCGTACAATAGGACTTTCGGCAGAAATTTTTCTATCTCTGTCCTGCGTGTTGCTCCACCCGTAAGACCGCCCCTACCAGCATTCAACTTACGACATGGCCCACAGGCTAGCTCAAGTTAGTTGGGGGTCTTACAGTGCGAGACCGATCTCATGAAATGTTGGCCGAAATTCTGAAATGTGTTTTGGATTAGGAAGGACTATAGGTGGTTTTGTAATATTAATTAACACTTGGCATTATCCTTTAGTATTTCGGACTCATTAAGATGTGGGCTTTTGAGTGCATATTCTTCGGACCTATCGCAGAAACCGTGCACGGTAAAAAAAATAAATACTTAAGTAGCATTGATTTTTCACACTGATTTTCGATGGTCTTATAAATTCAGATACATTTTTTTTAGAAAAAATGCATAAAATATGCGTTTTTATGTGCTTGGTAGGAAATCGCATTAGCTTCACATTTTATACCTGAGAAAAGTCTATATTTAGGTTTTCAAAAGTTCCCCAATTATCGAATATTTTTTTAGCCTGATCAGCCGTTGCTTTAGCGTTTAGCGATTTCATTCTACAAGCTGCATGCCTTCCGAGTAAGGAAAATCATATATTCTTCTATGCCTTTAAGATGACACTATATGCAGCTCATAAATTTTGTAATGGATACGGGATGTGTTGTACATTTCACTAGGAACACTGGTAAATGGACACGTGCGATGCTGTATTTGCGGAGATCACACGGTCTTAAAAACCTCAAAATTAGAAACTTGTTTTAAAACCGAAAGGTAACCTTCCTTAGGGTAAAAAATATAAAGGCAACGTGGTTTTTCACCAAACAGATAAAAAACGTGCATTTTCGTGCATCTTTTCTATAAAATATATTTGAATCTAAAAGACCATTGAAAATCAATGTGAAAAGTGTATGCTACATAAGTATGCATTTGTTACCGAACACGGTTTCTGTGGGAGGTTAGAAGGAAGTGCATTCAAAAGCCCACATCCTGATGGGTCCGAAATATTATAGGATCATGCTACGTGATAATTAGTATTACAACGCCATCTTATTAATCCTTCCTAATCGAAAACACATTTCAGAATTTCATGAGATCGGTCACGCACTGTACGTTCTATCGTTACCGAAATGCCAATTCGACCATCTCGTCAGTGGTTAATTTTGCTGTTTTTTTCAGGCCCCCTTCGCTGCGTGATGTTGTCCGACCTCATTGTTACGCAAGGAGCCGACAACTGGTCGAGTGCATGGACGGGGATGGCAACAGCTGCCATTTTAACGATGTGCGGTTAAACAGGCTGTAGCTCATTCAGGCGCAGTTAACAGCCGGATAAATGTCCGAGATTTTGCCCAGAAATCCAAGGCATACGCACGCGCAGACGTGAGCGCGTGCGTACACAGCGCTTGGTATGTGAACTCTACGCGTAGATATGGCACTGTTGAAGCATACTCTACTTAAGGGGAATTCACACTAGCTGTACTCTCAGAGACGATAAAAAAAGATTGTGGTGCACGAGTGAACTTAGATGAAAGTCGTAGGCACATAACTTTGCGGGCTGAGTTTGGGAACTTGTGTGAATAGCTGAGGTGAATGCCATCAAGTCCGGAAGGGATCAGAGTTATTTTCACGACAGACAACTTTAAGGCTGAATAACACTTTCATGTACTCCCATGATCCCAGGCAGAGAAATTGCACTGAGTTTAGTGGTTGCATGGTTCGGGCAAATGCTTGCACAAAAATTCAGCAATGTAACTTTGTCGGATATCATATAACTGCATTTGCTGACTTCCCTAACAGTAGAAACCATATTGGGAACGCTGGAGAACCCACTTACTTCATCCAACAGCAAACATTCGTGGGACGTATGTTTGAGGAATTAAAAGCGTGTTTAAGATGTTGGTGAAGCTATATTCGAGTTAAAACTTGCTTAGTTGACCGATAGATTGGACAGAGTATAAAAGGGCGCAATAACGCCGTTTCAAGAGTTCCCACTAACGTTTTCAAAAGACTGTTCAGTGAGCACAAGCAGGTTTTCGATATATTCTCACTAGAGATGTTGCACATGATGCAGATTGATCTGCAAGATTTTTCCTAGTGTACTTTAAGTTATTTTAACAATTTCCGGCGAAATTATAAAGTGTTATTTTGTCGGCTTCTGCCTTTAGACAGGCTGTTATCGTCATGAGCCAGTGGTTAGGAGGCTAGAACAAATGATGGCCTCTGCGCGTACATGGAGGTTGACATAACTAATTCCAAAGTAGAATGTTATTAACGACTAAAACAACAGAGACTGCAATGGTCTTTTCTGGCTCATTAATCGTCATCAGCCAGTCCTACCAACCCAGTGGCTCAGTATTTAGGGGCGTTGGACTCCTAACTAACAAATCGCCGGATCAAACCCCAGGCGTTCCACACTTCGGAGAAATGTTTTAACTGCTGCTGGTAGATTTGTGGATCGGAAGCCGAGGACGGAAAACGAAGGATATGCTAGAGTACGCAGGCCTTCTAGATAATTTGGGCTTATAGATGTTGGGTTCTCAGAAAGAAGACCGTAAGACATACTGCCACTTTGGGATTTTTATAAAAAGGAAATGAGGCGTGCTCACTTCGATACACAGCAAGTGGACAAGGACTTTGGTGGAATTTCGCGTGGAGTCGAACGGGATGGGTCTAGTGCCATAAGAAAATGAGTTGAAGTTAACAGTGTGGACCGGAGGTGGAAGACTAGTAGGCAAATTGAGCAAAAGAAATTAAAGGGGACAAGGTACATTCTACCCTGTTTGGTTCGTTCCTTCTTTGTCGCCTCTCGCGCAAGCAGATCGGCAATAATCGTGTTTTCTTAGTCAACCACATCTCAAACAATATTAAAATAGGAAAAAGATTTCCTATATCATGCGCCGCTGTGCGGCTGCTGTTTGGGCTCGAAAGAGAGCCCGTAAGGCACAACGGAACGAGTGAGTTCCGAAAGACCGATCGGTGAGCCTCCCTCTACCACTGTATATTCCCGATCGAAAACCGACAAGACAATGGGCCTGTGGCCCAGTGGTTAGAGGCGCAGACTTCTAACTGACAGGTCGCGAGTTCGAGTATCGGGTGTTCCACACTTCGGGGCTGAGTATGACTGGCTGACGACGGTTGATGGGCCAGAAATGGTCATTCCAGTCGCTCTTGTCTCTGCCGATAATGGCATTTGGTCTATGTGATGCGCCGCTATGCGGCTGTTGCGTGGGCTCAAGAGAGAGAGAGAGAGCCCGAGAGGCACAACGGGACGAGTGAGTTCAGTAAAAACGATTGGTGAGCGCCCTCTACCATTATTTACTAAGTTCCCACAGGAGAGCTAAACCCCAAGGTATTTGTAAGTGTTTGGCAAAGATCGTACTTATAACTTCGGTGACGTTCCTGTCAAGTCAAATAACTGAATTATAGTGAGTGTTCGCAGACGGTCCTTGGTCGATAGTGATGCGTGGCTGAATGTTATCATTCTCACCGCAGTCGGCCGTCGGTGTCACAAACCCTGGTTCTTTCTTCAGGACTTTAATATCTCCCCAAGTTGCCAGCCATGTCTTCCGACCATTCTCCCTAGACACCGGCCGCCAACGTCTATTCGCCGGGCCTTCTTCGTTGCTGACTCTCTATTGTGTTCGATCTTTTTGTCCACTGGTGGTAGAAACGTCTCTCCGAACAGACCAACAGTTTCACAGTTCGGGAATCCCTTCCTATGTGCCGCCCTGAATACCGACCCGGATAATCCATTTTTGGCAGCTCCTTACCCAATTGGCCAATGTCGTCCGTCCCGACTTCAAAACCTCTACCGCACTGCAGGTCGTTGATCATCACATCCGTTCGGGCATCCCTTCCTGCATTAGGTGGGCTAACTCATGAAATCTCAACAGAAATTCCGAAATGCGTTTCTGTTTCGAAAAGATTAATTAAGTTGGGTTGTAAAACCAATCATCCTACAGCATAATTCTATGATAATTCAGTTACTCCAGGAGGTTGGCTTTCGAACAAACGTATTTTCGGCTGCATCCAGAAACCATACTCCATAAAAAGACTACTTAAGTAGCATGCATTTTTTCGTAGATTTTCGATGCCTTTAAAGATTCAATTATATTTCGTGGAAAGCACGCATAAACATATTCATTTTTTGCACATTCAGTAGAAAATTACGTCTTTTTTCAATTTTATACTCGATGGAAGGGTAAAATTCGGTTTTAAAAAAGTTTCTTATTGTTAGATTTTTAAATACCGTGAAATGGTCATTCATAAAACATCAGGTCTCTGCACATACCAGTGTGGCTTGTAAAGTTAACAAGGGTGCGCACATCCACTGTTTAATTTTATGAAACCTACATGCTCCCCTTTATTACAGTAGAGAAATAAATGGCTTTCCGTACACGAAATTAGACGGCTTGTAGTTTGGGAACCCTGAATGCAAGTGTGACTGCCGGTTGGGTACAAAATTATTCGGGAATGGGAAAAGCTTTTAAAAACCGACTAATGCCCTTCCTTCGAGTATAACGTTGAAAGATGACGTAATTTTTTACTGAATTTGCAAAAAATGAATATGTTTATGCGTGCTTTCCACGAAATATAATTGAATCTTTAAGGACATCGAAAATCAATGAAAAAATGCATGCTACTTAAGTAGTCTTTTTTATGTGGTATGGCTTCTGGATGCAGCCGAAAAGATGTTTGTTCGAAAGCCAACCTTCTAGTGTAGCTAAATTATTATAGAATTATGCTCTAGGCTGATTCGTTTTACAACCCAACTTAATTAATCTTTTCGAAACAGAAACGCATTTCGGAATTTCTGTTGAGATTTCATGAGTTAGCCCAATTGCTCTATGTGCCGCCCTCAACCCCGACCCGGATAATCCATTTTTGGGCAGCTCCTCACCCATTTCACCAACCTCGTCCGCGCCGACTTTAAAATCTCTACCGCACTGCAGGACGTTGATCATAACATCCATACTACCGCCCCATGTTTTCTCGGCCCTGCCGCACATATAGCCATTGTCAAGGCCGAGTTTGAGTACATGTTTCAGAGGGTGATTGTCCCTCGTGTCTGACACCTTTGCATATTTATCAAGGCCACCACTGGTGAATGGCACCTCTACAGTAATTATATAGGAGGCTTAAACAAAACTGTCATCCGTAACTCCGAATTTTGGCTACATTGCTTTAGCGGTCCTTTGCATCTGAGAAATAGGGGGTAATTCTGGCCGATAGTGTCTCTGCATTCGGCGAACCCAGCAGTAAGGGAGATGCAATTTGTAATGCTGACATACACGCAAAAAGTGATCGATGAAGTTGCTAAAGTATGTTGCTAACTGGTGTGCTAACGAGACACGTACACGGATCACTAAATGTTTGCGTTTCCCCTGCTTACCTTCAGTGCATAGATCTTTGCGCAGATGCCCTGAGAACTGCCGTCCTCTCGACAATCAGGCATTTCCTAAATGAAAAGTAGAAAACGGAATATCATCAATGAAGTTAGAAATTCAGAAGGAGACGAATAAAGGAAAAGTATAAAGTGGTCTGCACTGTTAAAGCCCCATAAGCAAAACCTGGGTGCATAAGTAAACCCCGCAATTCCGCTTAACAGTCCGGATTCACCGTTAGCGTGGTCTAAACGCCTGAGAACTACCACACCGATTTCTAGTCAAAGTAAAACTGCCCTGTGGTGCATTGAGTTAAACGAAGCTTTTATGCTCATAAAAGGTAATTTTGTGAATGTAGTCAAAAAAAACTTTACCATCTACAGTTAGCCTCGCCGACGTAGTTTTTAATTTGAGGTTTTTCGTTTTTTTGAATGGCAGGGCTCAGTTGCCTTGGTGAGTAGTTGATGGTCCCTTGAAATTACACTACCGCTCAACGATCTCTGTTCTTTTAGTATGTGTCTGTTTTAGAATTAACAACAACGCTAAAAAAACAAAGATTTCCAGTGAGTTGGAGTTCAACTATTGAGTGCTAAACGCCTTGTGTCCTGCTGGTAATGTAGCACACCGCCCACTACCGCAGGTGAGAAATTTCGAAATGGCGACCACCTCTTGCCTACAGGCATCCAACTCGGGGCGATTTTGTGCAAACAGCATTGGTGTATTTAATTTTGTCATTCTAAGGTACGTCGCCGGCAAATAACTGCAATGCAAAAAACCAAAGGTAGATTTTTCCCCTTTATTTTCCATATCAGTTATTAACATGTGCCCTTTCTGTGAGCTGATTTCGTAAACGCAACAGGCAGGATACTTAGTGCTCCCCCGTTTGGTGTCTCGTAAATCTTTCTGCTTGGCGAGCTAATTGGAATTCTAGAACCACTCATCGCCATCTGCCAGCTACCCGGACAGCTAAATCCGCGCAAATCTGACCAGCTAAAAGAGCGGAAGACTATGAGCATGAGTACTGCGGCCATGGCTGATACGTATTCGAAATTATTAGATGATGTAAATTATTGATGAAATAAATTTTAGAAAATAAATTCAAATTCTGGATTTTATTACCTAAAGAATTTGCAAAGGCCTGCCCCATCTGCACGATATATATTATGTCAACACATGTATGAGACAGTAAACGTTGGCAGTGCAGTTCAGCATTGCCGTCCTCCGCCTCTAATCTTCAAGCAGTGTACAGAAAGCAACCAGTGTTTTTTTCATTTACGACCTCATGCAGTCCTATTTCGATATAACAGGACAGTCTAAATGTATGTAATAGAGTCGGATGGCTAGGTATCAATCGGTCGAACGACCAGTCAATACGGATAAACGAGATGTCAACGGAAATTCTCCCGAAAAGGAAACTCATAATAAATCAGCAGGAAACAACTTCTGGTTATTCTACAGACATCTTTCATCTGACTGGATGTTTCGATCCTTCACACAGTCAAGCGCGTTGTATTTTCGAAGATAAGGATCAAAAAAATTCAGATTGACTCTATAAGAAATAAAACGTTTCTGCGAGAAAAAGCTCCACGTACACTTGACATTCTCCTGTCTGCGAATTAGCCGTTTTAATAACCACCATGTTCAATTAAAATGACGCTGAAAACTCATTGCCCAACTCTTTAATATATCGGCATGCTAAGACAGACGCTGAACTTAGTCTCAGTAACTTTGCAAGACGTTGCCACCCTCCGAAATAACGCCTGAACACTTATTATCAGTTGCCAACAGATGCGAACGATGAAGTAATTTACCTGAACAAGGACAAGACATCAAAACGCGTGAACATTTAGACAGTACAAATGTAAAACAACCAAAGCGAGCTTCTAGCAGTTGGGAGCTTTCGGTGCCGATAGCATTTTTATGGCGTCTCCAAATTTTGCTGATCTTTATTTCAATGCTTTTTAAGTGTATAATGTTGGATGAAAAGTTCGCAGAAGCTGACGCGAAAATACCCTATTTGTGTAGCTTTGCGAATAGGCTGGTGGTAAATTGACAATGTAAAATTGTTAACGAAAAACTAGAAAAATCCAAAACCAATCGGGTACACATCATTGCATTTAGTGAGATGGCATCGCCCTTATCTCAAATTCCAAATAAACATTTTACATCAACTTTACTGGAATAATTTTCGAGGCCGAACAAAAAGCTCAATTTTCTTGAACCCTGTTTTGTTTTCCTTCATTAGTTTCATAAATGCCGAAGGCCAAAGTTTACCCAGACTTGCGTTTCAAGTTTAATCAAGTCTATTTTTGAATATTTAGCTAGCAGAATCTCTATCATAGTTTAAATGTCAATAACAGTTAGGTTTGCAAACGGTTTTTTGATATCACCTATTTTGTCTGAGATCGACATCTGTCCATTCGAGATATAACGAATAATTTTCTGACGCAGACGCGTTTCACAGCTGCAAGGAATAACATTCTTACAAAGGTTCCGTTGTATAGAACAAATATGAATAGGATTTGACGTAAACACTTGGCTCTAAGGGTAGGTTCCTATTTCTGTATTACACGAACCTTGGGTTATTAGTTGAGAAGAAGGGTTGTATCAACCTATCGTTTGATAAGAATCCCTGAAGGTATAAATAAACGAGGCGTACACGTTGACTTTTGCTCCGTAGACCTCCTGTTGACCTAGTGTAAAGTCTTCGTTAATTTTGACTCACTGTTCATGGCGCATATACTCATTCCTTATTTAACTGTGGTCGAGTTCCTTAAAGATGACACTAAACTCTCTATGTGATCGAATTTCAAGTTTTGAAAAAGTATTCTTAAGAAGGGTGAGTAAAGTTTCAAAATGTCGAGTAAACTTTAGGCCTTTAATGTCCCTGAGACTTTATAGGCTAGACATTGTAAAAGCTGGAGACCGGGCTACTATAACACAGAACAACCATTCAGGATGAAGATCGAGTACATTTGGTGGCTGCTAACTGTCTACAACCTTTGATTTCTCCACCACGTCGAGAATCGAGCCAGTTGTGAACAGTACAACACGAGAGACCGGTAACCTAATTGTGTCGAATTCACCTCTGCATTTCAAGCTTCACTCAGCCATTCTAACCAAGCCCATGGCTGGTGAGTGCCACGAGAATCGATATGAACATTCACACTGGCATTGGCCTCCTAGGCTTGGAGACAAAAACCAGACATTCCTTGTCAGTTTACTAGTTGCGCTGTGTGACGCAGCTTCCGGCTCGGCGACACCATGACGTCGGTTGGTATTTTTTCAACAAGTGGCCAAAGCCGAACAAAGATCAGACGCAGACCCCTAATTTACGTCCCGCCTAGTAGTGTCGACTTGTAGTATCGGCCGACTGTACGGTTGTTATCACTGTCTTCTGGGGCGCTTGTACGTTCCCATACTACAGCCGGGATTGTCATATTAGCTCTGTCCCCTGGACTCTTAGTTAGGGAAATCTCATGGTTTTCGGCCATCTGGGTTAGACATACTTTATCACTTAGTTAATGGACTTAAACCGTTTCCATGATATCCTGGTAGATTTAGTAACGAAATCAAAAGACGACTCGAGGTAGGGAGCTATCATGTCATTTTTGTAATGTCTGATGCCTTTTGTTCTTGTCTAAAATATTTTCATTACTGGCACTTAAAACAGTGTATTGTAAATCGTTTAAAATTATTCCTTGGAAAGCCTGGTGGTCACCGTGTTTTTTATAAACGGTAATGGGGTTTGCGACTCGGCCCGTTGGTACCTAACTTTATTTATTGCATAACCTCAACGAGCCATCACTCCGTATTCTCTGAAAACTGGTTACATTAAATGGGCTGTAAAGTTTACCCTCGTCATGCTTTGTACAGAAGCTAAGGTTAATGGAGTTAATAAATGCAGTAGTTTAACTGTCAAAGTCCATTTGTGAATTAAAGTCAGTCTCGACAACCGAACGGTGCTGGACTTGTGATCCTTGGAAAATATCGTTGAACACAAAAGTTTTTTCTAAACAGATATCAAAGGGTACAAGGCAATCCGGACGACTCGATTACATTTTCTACGATCAGTCAGTAAGAGAAAAATACTTACATTTCTATATCCTCACTTTAAGACATTGCCGAATGACAAATGCAAGCTGCCAACTCAATCCCTGATTTGTGTAATTCAACAAAAATAAAATGGCAGTTTTAAATATATCCTTGTTTGCTACTAGCGTAGAGACACGGACAACTCATTGCCATATTTACTCTTCAGATGAGATGACCACCAAAGGTCCTGTCCCGATGGTCACTCGACATTTTAGGCTGGCAGACGAAGAATTAACTATCTCCGTCTGAAATACTGTAAAGAATGTCAAATCTCACAGCCAACTGTCTACTCAAAACAATTTTAACCGCAATGCAATTTTCCGAGAAAACTCGATGACTTAGCGTTCTTTAGTCGTTTCCCAATATATGAAAAAAGGGAAGACTCTTCAGAAAATCTAGTTTCACTCGAAGAACCTTCTCTGTTTTATTGTATCACCTCGGAATGCACACAACGTCAGTTATTCATACAAATATATATTCACTCAGGAATGGGCGCACACCGATCCGCTGGCTTCCCGAAGCAAACAAGCTTCGTATGGGCGATAGGGGTCACGAACAGGCAACCACCTACCGGGCCGACGTCGGCCAAGGTATGTTGGTGAAACGGGCAAACGCCTCTGCACAAGATTGCACGAGCACCAGCTTGCGGTCAACCGCGAGGATGAGCTGTCACTGGTATATGTCCACATACAGCAGGAGAAGCACAGTTTCGCCTTTGGGGAGGCAAGCGTCATCGGCCGAGCCAGCGAAATGATGGTCAGACTGGTTCTCGAAAGTTAGTCCTCAGTTGACACAATCAACAGAGCCACTGATCTTCATCCGGCCTACCAGTCACTTCGTACGAGGCTCCGTCAGTTCGGACGGGGCCGACAGCACTGGCGAGCAAATCGCGGATCTCTGAACAGTTGTCACCTTTACAGCAGGGCGAGAGAGCCAGCCGGGGGGTCAGACGACCGACGCGAAACATCCATCCACC